GGCAGAGTTGATGCCGCACTTCCCCTCGCGGGCCGAAAGGCACCGGGACCAGCGCGGGTCCAGCGGCGTGACGGCGCGACCAGGGCGGCCGCGAGTGGAGTCAAAGTGACTGGATCTTGGGACCTGACTCACTCTGACTGGACGTCACCACTCCACTCAGGTGACTGACTCACATGGAAGTGGAAGAATGCTTTGTTGGTAGCGGAAAGTAGTCTGTTGTTCGGGGCCATGTTCCTCTTCCATGTTAGTGAGTCAGAGTGTACCAGGTCTAGATTTTCATGTTAGTTTAGTAAAGCTCCAAAGCATGGATAAGATTAGCAATGATTAGCATATATTTGCCAGGAATATCGGTTTGGGTGTTGATTCCTAGCCCCTTAGAGGATAAGGGCTGTCCACTAAATTACCTTTTTGAGGGTCCCGGTGTGAACTAAGATTGACTATGTTAAATAGCCAGTGCACGTGACAGGTTGTTGGAATACATTGTATCAAATTCTTGTTGCTAGCAGCCACGAAAGCATGGACCAAGAATACATGCGTGGTATGTGACCGACCCACATCCATGAGAGAGAATCTGTTGTTTGGGAAGATTGCTTTGCTTGACTGAGGCAAAGTACATGTTTAGCTGACATTCCTGTTGTCCATTCCTGCTAAGGTACTGAGATTCCTACAGGTCCATGGGAAAAATCATGGTTTGGTCATACTGAAATTCCTGTTGTAGTGGTTTCAGGCCTTGCTTGGCATGCTTGATCAGATTGTTGGAATCCAAGGGACTCCCGGCCATTTGATCTTCGGTGAAGACGGAGTTCCTTACCATTCTGAGTCAACTTGTACCAGGGCCCCCGAAGGGTGTCCAACAATAGCCCCTTAGAGTCTAAGAGGTTAATGGGTGTCTACTAAGTCTAAACGTTTACTTTCCAGTATTGCATGTTAACAGGACCCATGGTTTTGAGCGAGGTCAGTGACGTTTCTTGATTTGGGGCGCCCTCCTAGTGATGTGCGAACTTCCCACTTTCAACTCTCAATCTGTGTGTAGCAGCTGGTGATCAACAAAAGGATCGGATATCGGATCCCTCTAGTACTCCTCGCAGCCCCTTCTTGTTGTCCACCTCGCGAGGCAGTCCAAGCGAAGCCGCTCTGCGGTGGAAGTGGGCTGGACCTACGAGGGCTCCTACGGGTACGATGAACGCGAGGGCCAAGCCCCACGGGCCGTGCGCGCGAAGAGCTGGGACGAGTTCGTGCGGCTGAAGGAGCTGATTGTAGAGGTACCGGGCACTTGCTGTGGGTCCAAAGTGAAACAGCTCATTTTACCCCTATATCGATTTGATTTTTGGGCATATGTGGATGGTGTGATCCAGATTATCTTTTTTGTTGCGTTGTTTTTATTGCATTGTTGTATATAGTTGTGGTTGACGTTTGTGCATTTGTACTAGCGTGTGCTTTTGCATCTGGGATCTGGTTCCTGTTCAAGGGACAATGTGTTTTGCATCTCTGGGAGCGTTTGCTTGGAATGAAGCCATGATCCAAATCCGACCCATCAGCACCAGACGCAGCGACCAAGCAACACAATGCAAAGGCCAAGTAAGTATGCTAGTGCTAAGTAGATTAAACAAATCAACAACAAAATACCCACCCCACCATACTAATACATTGCGATCTATTCATGTCGTATATTTGAACCATTGAGGCTTATGACTGTGGATGTGGTTGTTGAGGGCATACTTTGACAAAGAAGATACGCCTGTGATTGTTCAACGTGGACTGCTTGCCTACTGAATGTGTGCATTGGACAAATACCCCGCTGAAGACTCACAGGGACCCGGAGAACCATTGCTTTAAAGGAGAAACAACAGGGTAAAAACGACCCGGCGTGCCTGTCTCGACCCGGGTCCAATATGAGTTTTCGGGAGTGCAGGGTGCCGTAGGGTACTCCCAACCCATTGGGGCTTTGGGCCGTTCTTGCTTCCTGTATTAGTTGGTCCACCTGCCATGGCCTTCGTCACCATGCGTCCGGCCTCGGCCAACCTGCACCGTGGCTTTGGTCGCTCTCCTTCAGGGCTCTTAGGTCTTCCAACACCCAACCGATGTTGCAGGGCATCATTGCTTAATAGATCTTAAATGATCTTAATATTCGGGTGGTTTCAGAGGTCAATGCAGGTAGATATGCCAGTCCCATGGAGTGGAAATCGGGCAGATGTCCACACACAAACCCACGCGCGCACCGTTGTTGCTACAGGCCCTGCCTGTAGCCCGCGACTACTCTTTTTTTATTGTCAGGTGATGCGTCGCTTGGCTCCGCAACTGTCCCTGGACGAGGAGCGGCTCAACGTGAGCTGTTTGCTTTATTCGCCCGGGCAGTGCATCCCTTGGCATGCTGACAGGCACCGGAGCGGCACCGGTTTCGCGTGGATGGGACGGAAACCACATGACGTTGCCCAGTGACGCATGCACTGAGTAGGCACGACCTGTTGCGATGGCAGAGTTCTTAGGGATCCCTACCCTTCCAGGCCCTCTACTTATACAGGCACATACAACTTCCAAGATATCGCCAGACACTAAGACACGTCCTTCGCAGACCCGAACTGAGCCGAACTGCTTCGCTCGCCTCGCTTTCCGGACTGATCTATCTCGTTCAGGAAGCACATCTACCGGAATCCGGTCTTCGGCTGCATCTTGTTCAACAGCTCCGACAGCGTCCTGGAGTTCCACCAGATGGAGCCGCAGGGAAAGCCCACCGGGCGGCCCTTGGAACGGTTCCTGGTGCCCGAGGAGGTGGGAAGATGGGGAGAGAGGTCCGGAGGTGGGACGAGGCCACCTTTCTGGCCGGCCAGAGTAGTTAGTCAGGAACCTTAAGGTAACCAGGGAAGGGGAAGTGGAACGGTCTCTTTGGTGGTTTAGTTATAATGAGGTTTAGTTGAAGTCTACCTACAAACTAATTATATATTGGGTTGCCTGGATCCACTGGGAGGGTGGAGGCGTTGGGACCAGCACCATGGTCTGAGGAAAATCTCTGCTCGTCGAGCACGGTTCGGTTCCATCCACCGGTGGACATTTGCATTGACAGAGAGCAGTTTCACATAGACCAGGAGCATTGGATTCATATAGCAGAAGGTCCATGACATTGTGAAGAACATCACCCAGACTTGTTGGATTCATGTACCAGGAGCTCCATGGAGATGGGTGCCGAACGGAGGCTGAGGGTGCCCACAACATCACATCCACTCTTGTTGGATGGGACGAAGAAACCCACCTGTTTGGGACCTGCTGGATCCTGCTGGCATTGTTTGTTTATGTTGATCCAGTCATTTTTAGGGACTAAACACAAATGCTTTCACCTGCTAGCATGTATGTCGACCCCTGGCGATGTTCTTCGAAAACCACCACACAACAAAGGTCCAACAGCGACGTGTCGTTTCCGGTTCCTGGACTCCAGGCAGGCTGTTGCTTTCTACAGCAGCACGAGGCGCGCTACCAGTGGATCCACGGAGTGCCGGAGCTTCATCGCGGCGAGCGTCTTTCAGTGACATGGCGCTGGTTCTTGGATGACGTGGAGCTGGAAGGAACCTTGGATTGATTGGTCGAGTCGGTTGAGTTGAGTGAAATCATTCGTAATCTGTTCGGATTCAGCAGTCCCTTGCTGATAGTTTTGAACCTCAGGGAAGCCATGGCTCAGGAGGCACAATAACCAGGGAAGAGTAAGTAAACCAAAGAAGAGCACGGATTTAGACCAAGATTCATGCCACTTTTCTTGCAGTCCACTTCGGCCCGTCGGCCATCTCATCTCACCGTTTTTTGGCCACAAAAGCACGAATGTTCAACATGCCGATCTTGAGTAAGACATGCTTTGTTTTTGAGTAAGACATGCTTTGCAGATCTGAGAAAACACGTGAACCCTGGTTGGTCGAAGGTGTTTCTGGCCTTCTCTAGTGTATGTCTTCCGTCCGTCCAACGAGCGGCCCCAGAGAGACAAAGAAGCGCGTTCTGCTCGAGGTATGAAGCCGCAAAGGGGTGAGGAGGGCTGAGTGGGCACTGCAAGGATGGAAGTTCATGTAGAATATTGATGAACTTTGATGAATATGGTAGAATCTTGAATCATCAACCTCTCATATTGAAGATGTATTGAAGGTGTACGCATGTTTACGCGATGTAAGAGCTTTTACCATCCAAATGGGAGGTATGACTCATCAAGAGTCTACATTAGCACCACACTTTGGTGGCTGCATCCAGGTTTTACCATCCAAACTTCGATGGCCTGAGACTGGTGCAGCGAGCAGTACGGGCCATTGACCGAAAAAGAAGCAACCGATCGGTGACATGGACTAGCTTGTGCTCAGGAGGGACCTAAGGAGCCAGGGTATCCATAATCACCATTAAACAGGGAGCCAAGGAGCTACAGGGAGTTCCCCAACCCCTTGCTAGTTGTGTTTTCAGGAAAAGTACTAGTCTTCAGGAGATTCCAAGTTGGTTCCGACCGAACCACAACCCCTGGATTGCCAGATCATGCTGGTGCCCAGATTGAGCTTCGCAGTTCTGTTGGTACTGTATATCAGTATATCAAACAATGGACAGTCCATACATAGCTGGGCTGGATATTTGTGAATGTACCCTGGTGCATGACATGTTGGCACGTTCTCTGGTGGAATGCAATGAAGTTGCCAGATGGCCGAGTGCAGCCGTCGGATGTGGAGTTCTGGTGAGGATTTGTTCCATCAGCAGTCAACATGTATCAAGACAAATTGTTTCTTTGGGCATGTGGCCACCAGGCAGGTCCAAGTTTCAATGTTAAATCCCAATCAATTTGGTCCTGCAACCCTTAACCTTTTCAGACACATTTTTGGACAGCCCTACACTGCCCTACACTGTAGTAGTATGGTATAGTATGGCTATAACATCACCTCCAACCCACCCTGCCCGCACAGAAAGATAGAACTTCCATGAACACCACCGAACCTCGCCGCACCTCCAACTGGTCTGCACGGCGTCGGTCTTGGGCCGCGACTCAGGCGGCCAGACTCATAGCTGCTGGAGGCCGTGTGCTCGGGCAGCCCAGCGTGAGCGTGGAAGGTGGGAATCACTAGGAGGTGATGCATCGGTTGGGTATATACCATCTACTATCACAGTGATGGTCTTCTCTATTATCTATGCTGAAAGTTGGTGGAACTGGCTAGAGACTCCTTTCAGGTGAATTATTGGGTTGCTTGAAAAACGAGGGCAGTTGATCTAAACCTCGTGCGTATTTGCATGAACTTTCTGCCAAGACAGACTCTGGGAGTTGATTGAAAGAGATCCTGGAGACTCTTCAGATTCAGCTGTGGAGCTAGCTACCAAATTCATCAGCTAGAATCTAGCAGCTTGGGTCCTCAAGGTCTGCAAAATCTTTTGCAGTTCACAAAAGCAGAGGCTATCCTGGGTGTTTCTACAGCACACTTGGGTGGGACCAGAACCGTCTTGGATTCTGTCTGTTTGGAAAGTGTCTCGTTGAAGGCGATCAATAGATGTCAACAGCCTTGAGCGGCCAATTGGATTGAGACACGTTTCTTGTTCCGCGATGGCCCTTTGTTCTATCCAGCTGCTTACTGTAAACCGGGCAATGCTGGACATCCCGGACATGCCATTGGCTCCTTTCGCTCAGTGGTGCTGCTGGTGGGCAGACGGTGGCGGAGAAGGGTGGCTGGAACCACGCAGCGGACGTACTCCTGGTCTTCATATGTCTTCATGCATGTGTCTTGGAAAAGCCATTAGGCAAGATGATTTGGATGTGGCCTCAACTCTTAGTTCTTAGGGTTTCCTGATTCTTGCACTTCGGTGTGGGCTCATGTTTAAGTAGACAACCCTTTCCCTTCCTCCTGCCTTCCTCAAGGTCTTCAAATCCGGAGGCTCCTGGGATCCCCTGCGATCCACGCGACAGGGTCCACCCAACTTGGATCACCCAACGGAGCTGCCGGGCAACGTGCTGAGCATGAACAAAAAAGCAGCGGCACAGCAGCTGAATGAACCACCTGACAGCTCCAACTTTAGCATCTTTGGATGGTCAATGTGTGCGATGATCAACTGACAAAGCTCTTCTGGCATCATCCAGGCCTGACTCTTGGGTGGAGGGCAGGTGTGCATCTTGGAATAGTTCCCGAAGAAACAGTCCCTTTTCAACTCTTTCATCGATCCCGAAGGTGCAGGGGTCGCCAGTAAAACAAGCATAATTTCGATGTCAAACAGTTGCAACAAACATCAACAAACCATGATTTGGAGACTAGTGTTAACGAAAGACACTGGCACCAACACCTGGGATTGCAGAAAAACACCGTGTATTATGGGAGTTTGCAGGTGGTGTTTGATTCTTCAAAACAATGGAAACTGGATGAAATGTTTTGGAGTTCATAGCGCAGCAGAATGTGACACAGCCACCTGCTATGAGAGAGTTTTTGGTTTTTGACATTCAAAACAAGAACAGTGAAAAACACACAGATGCAGTCAGATGTAGTGTATTTTGGAAATTTGGACGTGGGGTGGTGGATCTATCGCTATCGCTATCGCTATGTGTGTTGCAGAGCGATAGACCCACAGCGGCGGCCAAATGGCTCTTTGGCCGCAGAGATCCAGCTTGTGTCAGACCCCCTCCACCTACAAACCCTCAGAGCACGCGCCTGAGAGAAGAAAAGTCAATCCACTCGGTGTCACTTACAACCTCCAGCTCACCCTTTCCTCACCCACCAGCAAGTATCAACAAATCCTTCGAGCAGGGCGATCTGCGTTTTTGATGTGTTTATATGTTTTTGTGGTTCATTTGTTTAAAAGAGACTGCCATGTGGTGTCTACCCGTCCAAACCAAGGGACATAGATATAGATTGACCTGCAAGGTAGATTCCCGCTATGGGCCATGGCCTTTGACGGTAAAGCCAGCACCAGGAGTTGGAAGTTGGAGGATTTCTAGACCTATCAAGCGACTGGATGATGAGTGGCCCTGATCTTCCCCTAATACCACTCCGACATATTCTTGCGCCTAGACTTCTGTTCCCCTCACCTTCTTGGGACTGCTGGAGTACAGAGGATGTTCACAAGTAGCTGGCATATTCATGGTTTTGGGGTGGTTTGTTGCTATTTTTTCCGTGTGAGTAGTATAGGGTTTTTTCCGGTTTCTTAAGCAAATCCAAGTATTCAGTATGACCTATGAACCCGGCACTTGTAGACTGTATTTTGCGCACCTATTCTGTTCAGTTGTGCGCACAAGTCATGGGTGAACAAACTGGGTTTCATTCTCCAACCACCTGGATCTCAAAATCGTTAGCTCTTCATGGTTTGGGTTTCCCCCGGCCGATATCCTCATGGCAAACAGTTCGGTGCGCGTTTCACATTCCACGACATCTCACCAGGCTTCCACAACCCTGTCTTCAACTGCTGGTGGCTGACGGCCGCCGTTGATCCTTTGCACAGCTCCTGGACCTCTTCTCTACTGCGGGGCAGCTCGGCTGACGAGAGCTCGCTTTTGGTTGTGACAGTATGGAACCCCCGATGCTGTATAGTTGATGACGTTTCATTATATAATGAAATATCAAGAAATCAAGAAATGGCTTAATCATACGTATTTTGGCATTGTGAACCAGTTGCCACGCACCCAAAGTGTATATATATTTATAATTTGGGAGGTGCTTAGAATTTCCAGATTCTACTTGATCCTTGCTACTGGTAACAGTTGGACGCATCGGCATGGCACAGGACACCAAGGACAATAATGACTTATAATGACTTTCCCACCCTCCTCACAACCATCATAATATATATATAAGCAAGCTTAAGTGTTTGTGGTTTGGAGTGCCAAGATTGTCCGTTCTTGAAGGATACTGTACCGGTGCCAATCTTGACTGGCTTTGATCCCAACTGGGAAAGCAAAGTGATTGAACTTCTTCGTCCCCAAAGATGGATTTTTTGAGCAACATTTTAACTGACATTCATGTGATAAAGAACCTGTTTCAGATAACGAACCTTTCCATTCTACTATTCTACATATATATATATATACATATTTTATTTATATATACACGGCACGTCTCTAAATATAACTGTTCGGATTGAGTTGATGGCCGTCAGATCATCGGCTCTTGGACCGAGACCTCGAAACAACACGATCCGCTCTGGGACGACGGGAAGAATGCCTTTTGAGGCCCGGCTCGGATGTGAGAGTCAACTGGCGTGTATGGATGGGGGGTGAATGATGGTGAATTTAGTAGGGAAAGAGCACATATATTTCGAAACATTTATGTTTCTGTACCAGCACCACCCAAAGGATGTGATTTGCTCAATAACGGGGTGTCTACAACCGCTATTGTAGAGATGGAATGCGCGAATGGCTAAATGAAAGACCACCAACCTATACGGGGCTGCTGTGGGCTTTGCTTGGACTGGTCCAAGTGCTGGAACACGGACATGGAACAAAAGGGATCGTTCAGGGGAACTACTCTGCCAGATGTTTACTTTTCCAGTCGGGTGTGAAGCTCAAAAGCAAGGACTCAAGAAGGCAGCAAGGAAAGCTGGAAGGTGAGTGGAAAGCAGAGCTTGGAGGGAGAAAGACAAAGCCCAAACCATCACGGGCAATATTACCGAGAACCATTAATTGAAATCAGAGCTTGGAGGGAGAAAGACAAAGCCCAAACCATCACGGGCAGTATTACCAAGAACCATTAATTTAAAGACAGAGATCATTGCAGGTGACTCGCTTTGTCATCCTGGTGGCATGCATTGTATCAGCAAAGCAGTTCTTCTTAAATGGTATTTCTTGGGTCTGCCCTGTTACCTGTATGGCCAAGGAATTTCCGTGTTCTTCTCATTAATTTGCACCGCTCATACACAAGTCCATCCTCTCATGGCGTGGTGGTGTGGAAGTGCTGACCGGAGGTGGAGGATCGCAGTGTTCGCCTGGCTCTTGACTTGTCATCTCAGCGTACGTTTGCAGGTGATCTCCGGCTTAGAACCGTTTGACACGCCTTCACCCACTAGAAAGGCTTGGCAAGTGAGTTCGCAAGGTAGGTTCAGCAATACTCGAGGTAGGAAGAGCTATGGGACTCTGCGAAAGACTGGCTATCGCGAAGTTTACATTGATCGGAAGACATTCCAAGCCCACCGCATCGTTGCAGTTGAATTCCTTGGACCTCCACCAAGCAATACAGCACAGGTGCATCATAAGGATGGGAACTGCAGCAACAATCACAAAGACAACTTGGAGTGGGTCACGCCTTCTCAAAATGTGCGCATCTCCTTTGACAATCCCTCAAGGGGCACTGCCGGACCTGCTACTTCAAAGCCGGTGATTGTAAGAAATTTAACGTCTCAGCAGCGCAGATGCTTTTCTTCTGCCAAGGAGGCATCAGAAAAGCTGGGCATGAATCACAGGACACTGATGGCACGCTGTCAAAGGGAGACTCAGCTTGGGTGCTTGCAGTTCAAGTATATGAAGGCTGAGAATCAGATGCTGGAAGGGGAGAAGTGGAAACCAATGATACACCCCGGATCAGGAAAACCTTTGCCAGGCAGATTTGTGAGCTCCCTGGGTCGCATCAAGAGGAAAGATGGACGAATCTCCAAGGGACACCGAAGGAGAGATGGATACTGCTATTTTCAGCCGTTTCATGACTGCACCATCCGTGTTCACCGTTTGGTGGCGCGCGCATTCCTGGGGCCACCTCCAAGTCCAGAGCACGAGGTGAACCACAAGGACCTTGACCGGGGCAACAATGCCGTGGATAACCTGGAGTATGTTACCCATAGTGAGAACCTGGCACACTGCTTCAAAAGCATGAAGGGCCCACATCCACTGTCAGTCCCAATTGAAAGCCGAGCTCATGGGAGCAGTGAGGAGTGGAGGACCCATGCTTCCATTAGATTTGCGGCCCGGGACTTGGGATTGCACGCAGCAGCGGTTCAGATGTGTGTTCGAGGCAAGCGCAGACAGACAGGTGGCTACGAGTTCCGCGTTGCAGAGACAGAAGAGGTGATGGTGGACACACTCCCGGGGGAGGAGTGGCGGGACATAAATGTGACAGGGAA